ACGATAGCCATGCCTGATAAACCAGCTGTTTATTCATCAAAGATGATATGGGACGATGCTATCATGCCTACAATAGATCCAGTAACGTTCATTTTTACACTTAGAAGTCTCGGAGACAAACCATTATGTCCGGCACTGTGAGTTTGGTGGCAGGCTGTAGTTCCAGTTTGTTGCTTGACTAGACAGATAGAGTACTGGCTACGGGTTTCTTACATTATTCCAGTTGTTATGAACTTGTGCCGTTCGCGATCATCTAGTGCTGTATTGAGGGGAGTTTCAGCCGAAGAAGGTTGCGTCAAAGCGAAGGAAGAAGGATAGCGAGAAAACGGTAGCTGTCGCAGAGGATACCACCCAGACTCAGAAAGGGAAACTTAAAGTGAGTTGTGCACTATACAAGCGAATTTGACAAATAAAGAGGATTCATGGCTCCAATCTATGCATCAGCCAATGTCTGATCTATCAAAAAAAAAAGTGAGTACAGCTAGATGAACACATGTGTATAAACATATGATATTGATTACGAACAATCCTTCCCTCCAACTAAACCGCACGAGGCTATTCATCATCGTAAAATGATTACCACATCATTATCAAGACAATTCTGTATTCAGGTGGTGTTTGTTGTAATGGTCGTCGTTACAACGAGATAAGCACTCACGAGAAAGGCACCGGAGAATATCGTGGGATCAAGCTGGTCACTACCACTACCAGCTTCGATATGGGATAGCTCCTATGGGCTTCTTAAATAATAACAACGCGCGGAAAACCGTAACCGTGGCGAAAGTTGGGCAGACTACATACCTCGCCTCCTTCCCTAGAAGGCCTAGCTTCTACTCATCCGTTAGGTAGAAGCTGGCGAGGTACACGAGGATGCATATAGTTGGGATATGTTTCGGAAACAATTGTCAAGCTTTATGTCTTGAATCTGAAGGAAACCGCTATACAGTTGGGAAGGACTGCTCGAAATAGGCTATTGATATATCAGGCTGATAAGAGGTTGCCTATAACGGAAAAGTACTGAGATCTGGATATTCATTCCCAATGCGGAACTCTGGCATCAGAAACGTATGCTAAGGATCTGATGATGTGAGCTAGGAACACGAAGTACGAGTTCATCGAAGTAACTGCCCGCTATACGTCATTTACGAGACTGCGACAGAGCTATCCCTTAGATTCGAAGGCGGATGTAGGTTTACCGCTGACACGCAGCCACAAAGATTGGCCATAAAGATCGATTCGCACGAAAGTCCAAGAACCCAAATCGGATATTTGCGACGACGACATGGCCCTTGCCCGGCTTCGACTGTATGCGTCGTCTAGGCGTTAAAGCTACAAAACAAGTTGACATCAAGTTACAAAGAAGAGGAGATAAAAAAAAGTTCGGAACTAGGCCCTTACCCTGAGAAGCTCTTCAAAAATGCCATATCTACAAAGTTACTGAAGGCGACTTCGACACTGGCCTCACAAGAACGGCTCGAGAGCATCACATCGGAGTTTATGGAGTGGGGTGGAAGAAATAGGATGAAAGACTCCCGCAGTGATCATGTCGATCAACTCCATCTAAGGTACTACACAGTTCCAGAAGCTTACTCTCGAAAGCTCGCGGTAAATTTGGGGTCTAACAGTGAAGTAAACCACATCATCTACAATCAGAAATTCTGCCTGACTGACGTTGTTGTTTCTCGGTAGGCGGGCCATCGTCTCCTCCGCTTCAGATTATGCTTTTCACAGCTAACACAGCAGCCTACTTTAAGAACAAGCTCTAAGCCGTTAACCGCAGGAATTATACTTTTATTACAAATTTACTACAAGAATCCGATGCCGAAAATATCGACGAGGAACGCAACTTATCTTCAAAGTGAGATCCCCTGGTAAAGAGTGCCTCAGCGTTTCCTTCGCGCGTTTTTCAGTTGAACCCTGACATGTATTTCAAAAAAAAANNAAAAAAAAGGGCCTAGTGGTGAGACCTTGCCGCGTGACACTCGGCGTCAGGAATAGAATGTCCCAACCATAAACTGCAGCCTATTAATCAGCATCACGATTATCCGGTTGCTATTACCTTTGAAAAGCCCATGCGGATACGCCTGGGCATGCTTAAACCTTCACATATGCAAAACTCATTTCGGAAAATTATCATGTTCCTTTGCTACACGACACTGAGAACCAGGCTCACTGGCATGCCACACAGCAACAGGACAGACTCGAGATTGAGACCTTTCTACCTGATCCTAAAAACATTTCAGGCACTAGAAAACAAGGAGGACTCCACACAAAATGAGAAAAAGAAGAAAGTATGTTTGTTTCTTTCGGAACTGTGTTGTTCAATGGTCGTTGAACAAAAAAGAGCTGACGATTCTAGGTAGGCTCAAGGGCTATAAGTACTGCCCGGGCTAGCAAAGTTCCCGTCCTATCACCGGAAGTTGAAAGAGTCGTCGAGAAATTCGTTAAACATGCTACAGAATCAGGTATGCTAAGATGGTTATGGTCTAGCGCTACAGTGAATTCGCCAATATGCGCCACGTGCTCAAACTCTTCTTGAAAGTTAGGCCTCGTATGTAAGCAGAAGGAAAACTATGAAGTATATCAGCGAAAGCTCGCATTAGAAACAACTTTGCGTAGCGATCTTCACGTAAAAAATTCCACTAAGGCCTGTATATATTTTGGGACCTTCATGGATATTCCGTTCAATGGGCAATATGACGAAAAGAACGAGATATAGATCTCATATAGGCCGGGACAAGACTTGAGCTTTCTGACTTTTCTGAGCTAGCAATTTCATACTATTATCCGGCGAATTTGGACGCTTTTCATAGAGAGTAAAGAAATGTGATGAATCGAAATGCGTCATGCATTCCACCGTTCTGAACAGCCTCGATTCCATAAGGCCCGTCCATTAGTTATTACGCAGTCGTCCTTCCGATTTTGAAGTACAAAAGGAATCAAGAGCATACTTCTTCGCATAATTCAATCGAGCCTCTATTCTTATATCTGCTCCATGCGATCCTGTGATCTGGAAGAACGCACGGGGAGGATATACAGAAATGGAGTTCTCAACAGAGATGACAGAAATCAGCTCTGTTGAGGTTATACCTCCTCCCCTTACGCTCTTCCAGATTTCGGAGAGGATTCAGTACGTTCCATGGCAAACACACAGTCCAGACTCATTGAAGTTTTGCGAGAGTACGGGATACCGATATGTCTGACGTTCGGAACATCCGCGTCCGCGCTCATCGATTTGAAGGAGGCTTTCATACTGTCGAGACAAAAGCGGTAATTGAAGCAGTGCGCAACCAGGGTGTTCCTGCTCAACACATACGAATGGTCGGTGAGCTCTTCAACAACTTCATGATGGGATTCACCACTCTATAACGAAGCCATTGCAACGTGGAGAGAGGGGTTTAGGCAGAACCATTTCGCCCAAAATTTCCAGCGTTGCTCTCGTGAATCTAAATCAATGGAGACAATTTTGATGAGAGAAGGGCCGGTAGCTGTAGCTCCTTTTATACTGAACGGCAACGGGTCTGAACCTTCTAGCTGCGTGTATCTGGGTCGAGAAAACGACGTTACGAATGACCTGTCTCCTGAGCTGAGTAGAAGGAATTGCGCGGCCTGGGGAGCATTGAAGAAATCGGAGAAAAAGAAAAAGGCAGTAGTGAAGAAGGAAAACAGTATCCGGCCCCGCGCTCCTTTCCTCGACAATGCAGCCCTTCCTGCTTTGACATACGCCTCAAAGAGTGGACTCTACGAAAGCACGTTGAACATGCAATCACATCATTCAACGCGCTGTGGAAAGGACAATGCTCGAAATTCCTTTATACACGCAAGAACAGAAGGGAATTCGGAAATCCGAACTCCGCCAACGAAGATCGAAGACCTGGTGGGCCAAACCCGTCGTGTGATATTATATCTCGGTTTTTGGCCAAAACCGTTACTGACTGGTTCCCTCGTTAGGGCGTAAGGTCAACACCAAGAAGCTAACCTGAGGAATGTTGTGGCTTGTATCTCTCGAGCATGAACGATCCACTGGACTGCTCTGGCTCCCGACAGAGACGGTTGGAGACGTTACTCTTCAAGACAATGGACGATGAACGGGACGACAGGTGACCAAGGGGAACTGAAGCAAATGTGTGAGGCTTGTCTTAGAAGGAAAGCCCCTCGTTCTTCCAAATTTATCTTATTTTCTGTGTGTTTGTTTGTGTGTGTGACTTTGTGTAGTATCTTGGTGTGTGTGTTTGTGTGCGTGTGTGTGATGTGATGTGTGAAGAAGGCGATCCGAGCCGAAACGTTAGCCGAAATGAAGTTGTTTTCTTATCAACCTCGTTCGAGTTCAAGCAAAGAAAACCAAAATTTATCTTACTTGTCACCAGCACATTCATTTAAATAAACGATCCCAGTACCAGTTTAGCTATAAGGTGTTCACTTCGCCTTGACAATTTTACATTACAAGTTACCACAGTATGCATTAGATCTTTTTTCGATCCTAGGGATCGAAGCACTTCGTGGAGAGAGTCGGGAGATATTGGAATTACGGCCACCGCCTGACAGCTACAGAACTTTCTGCACAATGCCGGACCGTAATCGATTTCCGGTAACTCTTAAGTGTTTGCTTCTATCATAATGAAACGAACAATATGAAGCAGCTTAGCATGGCCGTCTACGTTGGGAGTCCCAAGAGTTTCCGCACACTTATAATATTTTTGAGCCTTTTTTGCATCTAGCACTTCAATTATACACTAATAAATGCTCCTTCTCTAGCGATAACTTGTCAATAGGAGGAGGTAAAATAAGTTGAGCGATTTGAAAAACAATTCCGTTAAAGTTGGCAACAAACCCCGTGACACATCAAGCCTTCAAGGTGATAATTTAGAAACTTGTATCAGTACGTCCGAAAGACTCGGGACGTCCGAAAGACTCGGGAAAATATGTGGAAACTTTTGGGACACCTTGCAGAACGAGACGCTTTGCCCAATTCATTCTGAACTCACCACTGATTCATCTAAGAGTACTGGTCCATCCAGATAGAGAAAATGGAAGACGACATCTCAAAATGCGGCTCATTTTCTCACTCTTTTAGGAAATTCAATGCATTGATGAGACTCGTATTATTCTTGAACAGAGCGAACCCAATATGAACACTTACATACATGCAAGTAGAGTGAAACTGGACAGGGTAAGTAAATACCATGGAATTTAATGGTAATCATCACCCACAGAATAATTCACCTACACATAAACTAGTTGCTTTGGATGGGAGTGAATTCTCTTCTATAGACAAGAGCTCTATGATACATCACGTACACCTTTTCAATTGAGAACCATCTAAATATCTAGTCCACATCCATGCTCTCTCTACTTGGGCCACCTGATTCCATAATCTCAGAGAATTCGTTTGACACCGATTAGCCTACACCAGACGGATAACGGGCCCCCTGTCGATTGGGGCTGACCTTGATAGAATTCTGGCCGTCCTACGTCCCGGGAAGATGAAGAATATCCTAAGCGATGACCTGGTTTCCGGATCACTACTTCTAACTAATCCTTACATAGTATTAGCGATCGAAACTTCTCGAAAAAAAAATCGAATGTTCACTCGAGAATTACACGATTATAAAGACAACCTTACTGCCTGCTCTCCCTAAACATTCGTGTTGGGTGACTATCGATCGTGTCACAAGCCCGACAAATGTCTCAAAAACCTAGGGATAAAAGAAGAAATCAGTAGTCCACTCTTATTTTTGTTGCTTCAGGCCGAACGAGTCTACATTCTAACCCAAGGACCCAAAGAGAATAGTATAGAAGATTTTTGGCGCATGATATTCCAGGTTTAAAGATGTAGTTTGGGTGTGGGGAGTTACTCCGATTAATGAGATCTTTCAGGAGCAGTGTGCTGGCGTGGTCATGTTGTGTAACTATTTTGAGGACGGCATGCAAAAGTGTGAAGAGTATTTTCCAACGGATGGCGGCGGTTACAAGTACTATGGAAAGATGTTTGTCAATAACAAAAAGGTTGGGGTTTTCAAAAGGATACAGCAGCATTTTCTCGAAATGTTCGGACCACAAAAGTCGGTTCAAGGTGGACCACCTCGACCAGCACGACATTTACACACTCGAAGTTCTGCCTGACGGCTGTTCGAACTCGATTCTTACTCGGCTCGCTCATTGTACAACATGGCCGGACAAAGCCGTGCCAAGTAGTGGTCGAATGGTTCTTCGTTTGTTGAAGTGGATGCAAACACTGGACGCGGTATGCGTTTCTACTGACAGATGAGATTCTGAAGGATGAGTGAACGGCTTCAGAACGCTTCCGTGGCAATCGTGAGCGGGGCCGGTGTTGGGAGAGCAGGCACGTACATTGCAATCGATCAGATGTGCAACCGGCTATTCAAAGGACATGAAGCATCGGTAAGCCTACTAACTTCTGTTCGCAGTTGCTGACCAGTGAAACCCAAGAAGTGGCTATATATGCCAAATTGAAAGCAGCAGCAACAACCTGCTGTCGGGTCAGTGCCATTGTATTGTGGGTAGGGCTACTGTGCAGTAGCATTCACGGGGCTTTCCAAAACCACAGCTTGTTCTCCATGAAACAGAAATGCCTACAAGTCAAGAAAATGGAAAGGCTGCTTTCATAGTCCGCAATTCGGCCTGCGAGCGATTGAGGCGGCGCCTGCCCCTTGTTTACAATTGAATCTTGGTCGATACCGCCGGATGAGTAGAGCTCCGGCTGGCTCTCGCGCTCGCTCGCGGACTATGAAAGCAGCCAAGGCGCGTCAGAATGCAAGTGCGTGTGACTGTTCATTGCCAACTCTTACCTTGTTTGTACTGCCTTTTCATGAATTTCAGGTAAAGGAGGTTGCCATGGATATACGTAAACAACGTGCGCACGCCATTTCAAATGAATTGCAATACTTTTTCATATACTCAACAGTACTCGACTACATTAGGGTGAATATTTTCTTATATGATATCATGCTAATGCCGATCGAATGGAAAATGGAAAAAGTTGCTAACGATCGTCGGCTTCCCATCATCCCAATTTCAGTTTCTATCGGGTCTAAGAAGTGGAAGATTTTGAATTGAACCTGAGAACTACATGTTTAGTATCCCGGTTCCCGAGAATTTGCCCTGCACAGTGCAACACATACACTAAGGCAGGCTCACGTCACTATTATTGAAAAACCTCAGAACTGACCTGCTTCTCTCACTGATAATCTGCAAAATAAGACGGACTCCCGAGCATACTATTGTGGTAATCCAGTCACTTCAAATTGTCCGTGCCAAACGTTTTTCTGTAATAGCCACTTTTCGAGAAGGAGAAAAAACTTTTGCAGCGACATAGATCGAATTACCCACGAACCGTTTTATCTTTGTTCAAAATATTAGAGATTGATAGCATAGCTAGAAGAGAATAAGAAAGGCTGTCAAACCCATTCAAACTGAAAAAAATGTCGTATAGTCAAGGCCTTCTAAAATGAAGTTCTGATATAGTTCTGAGCTCCTCTTGTAGAATTTGAAGAACCGAGTTTACTGGTGCATTTAACCTGGTAAAACCTCATTTTGGCACTTATGCCAAAAAAAGCAAGATGCAGGTCCCTCTCTTATGCGCGAAGTCAGGATTGCTTGCCATTGTAGTGTTCAAGTCGGATGAACGGATACTATCCCTATAGAGGGCCGCACGGGAGAGAAGCGGAGCCCGATGCGCTTACACCACTTCCCTATCCCTCTTTGACTGCCCCACAAAAATAGCATTCATTACAGGCTAAAAGGTATCTAACCTACTCAAATTCGACCTAATTCAGGCTAAAATCCCGAAATACCACAACGTCGTCTCGAAATTTTATAGCGAATTGAGTCAGGCAATATAACATGTCATAGATACATATATTTAATTGAATAAAGATTGACAATTCTTGGAAATAAAATCTGGATTGACGTTCTTGAACGAATACAAAGGCATGAGAAGGGCCCATTGTGGAGTACTTGCTATGGTACTGCTTCAGCATGATGATAACAAATGGGCTAAGAAAGAAAAGAGGTGTGGATGTCACCTCCGTGGAAACATGACCACCATACCGGAATTATTATGGAGTACTTTCGTGGTAGAGAAATCACCCTGAACTCCAAGATGCTTTTTTCATGAGTGAGTTTCGATGACAAATAGGGAATCATGACTTAGCTAAGTTACTATGTAAAGTAAAAATCAAAAATACCATAACATTATTATCACTATTGTTCGATTTACTACAAAAACAAGGAAGGAGACGAGGAGGAAGCGAACCATGTTCCAAGGACTGATAGATAACCAACAGACCTGCAAAGGAAGTGGCTGTGGAACCATGTCATTATCGACCACCTTCTTTGTTTGATTGATCCCACATAGATCATACGATTTCGATCCAAGCTGGCTCAGACGATCCGAAGGCCTGGTGGAATCATTGGAAAGGGGCTATCACGCGGCAGAAAAGCGAAGATGACATCTGCTGTCGAGCGAACTTCCTAGGATGCGCCATGCATTGTTCCCACTATCAAAGTCAAAGAATGCTACTAGAGGAGGTGAAAGGGCATGCTGAACTTGTTACTTGGAAGATTCACCGTCCTTTTCTTTGTTGGCATTAACCATTTATGGGCTTCCCAGCAAAATATTTTATTCCAACAAGGTTCAATTTCGATGAAAAAGAGCACCTCCCGAAGTAATCAGAAATTCGTGGTGCCAACTGCGCTAAACTTGTATTCTGCCTACCTCGTATACCTACAGCTTCTTTCTATTCTCTCGAAATTCGAGAAAAGAAGACTCTTACAACGTTATTCTCGTAGCTACCCATTCGAGAAGGAGACGCGGTCACCTCGAGCTTAACAGCAAATTAATAAGAAATTGTACTTGCACATAAGCCCCTCGCCGACACGGTCTTCTCGAAAGTCTTCAGGGAACCACACTTGAGTGTCCTTCACTCTAACCGGCTTTGCACATCCGCCAGGATCTCACGGCGGCGTTCTCCTACCAATAAATAACTTGTTAAGCAGCCTATCACTTGATCACACTTGGGAAAGATCACATTTCCAAGACAACAAGGTCAGCGAAGGCCTAACAAACACAAAGAAACAGCAGATACTGGATATATTTATACAATACGTTAAAAAATACTTATTTACAAGTCCATTGAGGTAGTGAGGTGAGTGGTACTTCGAATGCTTTTAGGCCTCATTCTTCTTGGTCGGCTGAATTTTTTCCTTGAGTTGTCGCACACCAGGCAATCTTTCCAGACAGCATTTGTTTGACATGCATGGCGTATTCTGTGGCATCAAGGGACAGGTCTTTTTCTTCCTGAACAATAAAAAATTATCAGAAACATATGATGGTTGCTAGAATACTCTCAGTACTACTATCATTTGAAGATGGAAAAACGACTGCATACCTAACCCCTCACGAAATTTCTCACGTGAAATTCAAAAGCAATGCAGACGAACTCATTCTAATTTACATACAAGCTAACAAAAAAAAAGAAAAGTTATGCTTATCGATTTCTACTGGGCCATCTCTTGACACTTGCAAGTAGTTAATTTTACAAAAACTATTTAGAGTTCGATGCAATTCAAGAATCAATTTCTCGAAGTGAGGAAATCTTATATTTGCAGGTTCACTAGTTGGAAATTTATTGAGGAAATCCTGGCGAATTCCTCTAGGACATTTGTAAAAAGTATTTCTAAATAAGTAAAACTCACATTTCCCAAGCGCTACTCGTTGCCTCTTTCGCGACATTGACGATCTTTGAGCCAAGTGAAGGTTCTTGCTTGGAGAAGATAGCCGATATGCTATCTTCCGGAGTCGTCTGCTCGATATTGGCTTTCTCCGTCTCCTTTTCCATACTCCATTCTGGCTTGGGCATATCAGACATCAGTTTCATTTCGAAAAAGGAATCAGTGGTGGTCGGGAAGAAGAAACGGTCGGTGGTCGCTTTCGGCTGGATGTTGCGCTGAACGGGCTTATATGGTCGGTTGGAGGGCCTTGTGAGAACCTGATCTCAGCGATGACTAACAGTAAATGGGCTGCATCTAGTACACTTACACCTGATAGCTAACCAGAAGCCGCTTTCTGTGATGCGATAATGCCTTAGATGGATGTTTACAAGCCAATGCTACCCTCTAACATGGAGAGTATGAGCAGACTTTATTAGTACCTTCAAGCCAATTTTACACTTCCTTTCCAAGAAATGTAGAGGCACACAAGAATTGAGTTTTTACCTAAACGTGATTCGCTCAATCAGAGTCACAAGGGTTGTACGCCTAACTAGCTCGACGCTTGAGTAGTAGGTTCGCTTACTCTCATGGTCAGAGACACTTTCATCTGACCTATCGAACTACGCATGAAAAAAGGAAAAATGGCAAAAAAAAGAATCTTCGTAACGATACTCAAAGAAGCTTTTTTGATCTTCAAGTGTACATATAAAAAGTTGTAGAAATAAAACCTTCATACGTATTTCATCGATCTACTGCGCCCACATCCGCAATCCGTGGACTTATACGACACAGATTTCTGGCCGCAAATAGAGTCCGTCTATCCCTGTATGCTCCCATCAGCTGTGAACACTTTTTTCAAGAAATCGTCGGCAAGCATCTGCCCCTTGTTTTGTTAACAGGGAGTATCGCGGATGATTCGCGATTTCACTTTAAAGTATTTTAAATTGCATTGTTGTTTGTTAAATAAAAGTGTTTAGTTTGTATAATGAAGAAAATTGTGGAGCACATGGCAGAACGTGTTGAGGATATGAAGATAAGAAAGAAGTAGCGATAAGGCGCATAATCAGTGATCTATAGAATGATACAGTATATTATCTTTCTCATAGAGCCTTCCCATAGTAGGGTAAGGTTCAGTTTTATCCAAGGGACCACGAAGGGCGTCTGGCAATAAACGACTGCTCCGGACTCTATCTCTGTGGCAACTTTATGGTGCATCGGCCGTCACCTGCTGGTAAGTCATTCTACCTTCGGTTTTGAGTGCGCCGGCGCAGGAACTAACAAGAATCGACGGCGCTAAGAAGTATCGTCTTTTGAACTACATCGACGGCGCTTGAAGACTTTGGTTTCGAAAGTTTTTCAACCTTCTTGTCTTTCATAAGGATTCGTAAAGATGACTAGCTCTACATCCTTAAGATCACAGAAAGCTCTTTTAACGCGATATTGTAACAACATAGAGCGCATTTTAAAGGACAATGAAAGAATACTAAGAGCAAAGCCCGACTTCTTCTATGACACTGTCGCATCAAAACAAGCGCAAACCGTCGCATTACAACTCCACTCGGGCGCAAAATTGGTTCATGAAGCACTAGATTCTTTCACGGCGCTGTGTGACTCATTGCCTGATCCGATCTCGGAGGAACAACAAAAACAAATAGATGACTATGTGACAAAAGCGCACCATGCTATGGAACTCGCGCATACGAAGGCAATTGAATTAGAATGCAATCGCATGAGCATTCGCGAACACGCGCAATCACCACCTAACTTCCAAACGCAACACGTGACAATGGGGATCCCTCAGGGAACATTGCCACCCATTCCCATACCATCGTTTAATGGGAAAATTTGGGAGTTCCAAAATTTTTGGACTTTGTTTGTAGCAAACGTCCATAACCAACCATTGACGAAACTGCAGAAGTTCAACTATTTATTATGTGCACTACAAGGCGAGGCTCGCGAAAC